AGAGTAAATATGTGAGTTTTATAATTTTATTTTTGGATGAAAGTAGTATCATAATTTTTTGGATGAAGTTTCCCCCCTGTGTGTGTTATGTTTTGGGCAATAGAAAAATGTTCTTCATCTTCAATTGAATTTGTGTCAGTTATTGCATATTTTTTTGTTTGTAGGTTTCTTAGGAATTGAATATCTGCCTTCCATTTTAGTAAGGCCAGACTTTTATTATCCCTTGTCTCGCAAACCCGCCGAATGAACAGGAGCCGAAAATGAAATAAAAATTTAATTTTATTTCAGCGTAATTTCTTGCGCCCGCTGACTTGTAAGCGCAAAAAAATGCTAAAAAAATTTTCGTGGGAGTATCATGATCAAAGTACCGAAGTCTCGCTCAGATGAGAAACAAGGTTATACATGGAATAACATTTTATTTCTTCCCTCCGATCAATGATCTCACTTACAATTCTTTGAGAATTACACAAATCTAATGGAAAAAAAAAATAATTTTATTTTTTTCAGCCTCAAAAAAATTGCCTTATAAAAACTCGCAAAACAAGGAATAAAAAAAAGTCTGGGCTAACATAAATAAATTTAAATAATAATTTGAAATATTGATGACAATGATACAATCACAGATCTGTGCAAAATGGTAGTGAAGTTTGGAAACTGAAGCTGCTGACGGCAGCATGTGAAAATGACAATGATACAATCACATACTGTCTAAATGTATGCTTTGTAGTATTCTGGTACTGTAATAACCTCATATTATTTATCCTATTTTGATTAAAACCAGTCGCTTTTTATATTTTCCATTTATTGATGTATTCAATCATATTTGAACTTATTAAATGGTTTTGTATTAATTATTTTATGAAATTGTTGTCGACTTATCAACAAATATTTCATAAATGTCTGAGGTACATGTACATGTGCATTCCCAGATGGGGTACGTACCTTACATTTCGTTACATTAGTACTCCTGCTGCTTGTATGCTTGTATGAAATACTTGTAATAATCATTTCCACTGTATTTTCTGTGCTATCTTCGCTATTAAAATAATCTCAGTCAACTGTTAGTTTAAACAGTCCTGAGCTTGCCTACATAACCTGTTAAACAGAAAATGACCTTTCTCAAAAACCTAAACTCAGTACTGCATTGTTGGTAACTTAAATTTACTGTGTTTTTAATCAATATTTTCCCCCTGCATGCATTGATTTATTTAGATCTTAGAGACTCCATTTAGTAATTACTGCAACATATGTTGCTTCCATGGAGAGTACTACATGATATATATCAACTCTAATTACATTCCCAAGAGCTTCCTTCTTTAACACAATATACCTTGAGATTAAGCACTGTTTTAACTGCCATCATGTTTATATATCTGACACATGATTAGAATTCACAAGAAAAAATATATATAAAAACATATTTCTACAGTAACAAGAAAGACAATTTCTATGCTTACATTCAACTGATTTTTGTAGTCTAGGTTTTAAAATCTGTTTTCAGATTGATGAGCTGTCTTCTTGTATGACAAGATATTACCTTCTTTAAGTTCTGAACACCAATGAAATTTGTCTTTTGTTGCTACTTAATGTACATGTAATTGTTTGTTAATTTAATTAATAATTGAGACATATATAGTGCCATTTCTATCCATATATAGTGCCATTTTTATCCATATATAGTGTCATTTCTATCCATATATATAGTGCCATTTCTATCCATATATAGTGCCATTTCTATCCATATATAGTGCCATTTCTATCCATATATAGTGCCATTTCTATCCATATATAGTGCCATTTCTATCTGTTCTGACTAGTCACTTAATTATCATGTTCAAATTTGTTTTTTGTGTCCCTATATGCTGGTACCGGGTATAACTCTTGCCGAAGTTCAAGCCCCTTACGAAGGGAGTAACACTGATGACTATTCACATTCTAAATTGAATTTATTTTATTTTATTTTATTACAAAACTGTATGTCTCAACAATGAAATAAAGGAATGTATATATATATACATGTATATATTTACATTATTACTAATGCATTGTAATACAACTAATTCAAATTGAAAGAAATTGCAATATAAAATATCCCATCAGTAATACTTTTCAAAAGGCGTATTTCTCGGTCAGTGTTATTTACGAAAATATTTGTTTATAATTTTATAAACTTGCTTGGCAAAACCCACCCCATATAAATAAATATATTAATAAATGAAGATATTCTAACAAAAATGAAATATTATTTCATATTTTAATATATAAAAGTAATCAATATTTTTCCTTGCTAGAATGATGTGTAACTTCATATGGGAATTCTGATAAAGTTCACAACTGGCGATTTAGCACTATTAGCGATTGTCAACTTCCTGTGAATTTGATTACCTAACTTTTTCAGGTTCATGTGCTGCAAGTTGCTAAGCACTACCTAAGCGGCCGTCCCCAAGCAAATAATTAAGCCAAGGCGGTTTTGATATCGACAGCCAAAAACATGTTGTTTGTTTTCGAGCGGAGCCGATCGCCAACTTGTTTTAGTATAAGCTAGTAACAACTTGTCAATAATTATGGGATGATTTGTAGGCATAAGATTGTTATGTGAACTTCAGTCATTAATGGAATACTGTGCGATGACGCTATTTTCTAACTGATTCAGACTCCTATATTGACTATGTCCCACGCTGTTTACGAGTACCAACCTACTTACTTGTCAGTGTCTAACTGTTATATACAGCCCAGAACATGTCAAAATAGTAAAAAAAAGTCAGCTAATGTCAGTTGCCTGTGCCATGAGAGCCGGCCAAAGAACCAAAACAATCTGTCAGCCTTCGCCGCCCACAGCATCGATATGATTTTATATTGCATAGAAATGAACATTAAATGACTATCCCGGTCAGCAATCGAATCAACAATCTTAGTGGTTCGTAAGTGAATGTTGTCAAGTTCGAGAGTGTGTTTTAACGTACAGCAACGTGAACATTATAATGCTACAATTTTGGGCTTGAACATGTTCTATATTCACCCAAAACAACAACGAACCTGAAACAAAAGTAACCGTCCGTTCTAAACGATCTGCATCTATGAAAATCGAGTCTTACATGTATCTCCCTTGCCTTTCCGATCGACAGAAAGTCGGGGCCAATCTACCATGATTGTTTGTTATCATCAATTCACAAAGGTCAAAAACGTTTTTAAACGTGAATTTAACGACGATTTTGGTCATACATGTATTATGTACATTTTGGACAATATGTGACCTTGATGCACGTCTGTTTTTTGGATCAGATTCAAAATTGTCATTTTGTTTTAATAAATGCAGTTCCAGAGCTATACAACTGTATCTTCAACATGTCCTGACTGATCAAACTTTACATATACATCATATTGCATACATGTATGTGCATATTAATTCATTTGGTTATCCGATCCATGATGGCCAAATTGCGGTTATTTTAATGTTAAAAATTAATCAAAATCAAGCATTTTTGCCACCCTGGAACAGAATCCCAGTTATGTATGGATGGATTTTGTTCAAACTTAGTCCAAAGACATTATGAGACCTTAATGCACAATACTTTAATTGTCAGATCGGACTAAAAGTGGCTAACTGGTGGCCATTTTATATTTCTTATACTTAAGGGACTCTGTAATACAATTACATGTTTTTCAATGTTTAAGCTTTGCATTGGCCGATTTCATTTAAATATAGAATATATACTTACTTCAAAGGAACAAAACTTTGTGGTTCAAGCATGTTTCAGGGGGATTTTGGGTGAAAAATGGTCATTTTAGGTCACAAAATTTGTCTTGTCTTGATCCACTCCTATTGTTCTAGCCAAATTAGAAAGTAACTTGTTCCTGTTAATTCACACACTACATGTACTTTGTCTTGAATGTAGGCTATGTCATATTATCTCTTGTTAAACTCAAAACATGCTGGTTAGCATCCATTGCTGTGTACACGATTGTGTCTGAGGCATAGTGCTATAGGACTTGGTGTTGATGGTCAAGCAGAATCATGGCAACCATTAAGGTTAATCGATTAAATGAGTAACTAACTCAATTATCTTCACTGTGATGAAAATTCAATAATACTATCAATAATAAAGAAAACAAAACTTTTCTGCATGAGTGGGCAATAGAATGCTGCCATCTTGAAATTGGTTATTTTATTAGAGAAGATATATAATCCAAACAAATTAAATTTACTGTTATGAAAAATATAACCTGACTTAACCAAAAACATTTATGTAAGCACATGCTCTATCAATAGAGCAAATGCAGTATTTTCATTAATTTAAGTTCTCAAGTTTTGCCTCTGTATTCAAATATTTTACCTGTATGTGTTTGCATCAACATTACTAATTACATTCATGTTAAACAGACTGCTTTCATGAAATATTAGATAAAATATTTTTTGAGATCTGCTAATAATCCTCGAGAAAAACTGATTAACTGTCTCACTGAAATAATTTATTTTCAGAACTAGCTCATCCTGAATCATATTCACTTTCAAACATAACTTTTAATAAATTTGTTTCATATTTTATTTTAATTTATAATATTTGTTAGGAAATGGGTATTTTATATTTTGTGAATAAAATTCACTATAAAAAAAGTTTATTGACCATGGGGCAGGTGAGTCAGATTTTCTGCTCGCCTGCTCGCCTGATTGAAGTACTGCAAAATCCTGAAAATAACAAAACATTTTTTTTATTGAACAAACTTGGGTTTATAAGACGAGCTACATGTACAGTGCCACTGTGTGTTGTGTTGTCTTGTAAAGTTGGGTATGCTAGTGCAGGTGACTATGCTACTGTGTGTTATGAATTTGTAATCAAATCTAATATAACATTATACATGTAGTTGGCTGTACTATTACAAAACAAGCAGGATAACACTAAAGCTTATTGTGTGAACAGTACATCTTGATTCAAACCTAGTACATGTCATTTTGAAAAGACATGCCATTGACAATGACATATTTGTGTTATTTGTTTCAGCTCGTATGTTTTCAATAGGTTTAGTACTGGGTCCATTCAATCATTACTGGTATGGGTTCTTAGACAGACTTCTACCAGCCAAAACAATTGCAGTTGTAATACGAAAGATTCTTCTAGATCAAACAGTAGCATCCCCATTCTTTGCAGCATCATATTTTATCGGTAAGTAGCAATCCATTATTCTCTTATCTTGGACACACTCCTGACTCTTTTTAAATTAATAGTTTAATAGCTTTTAAGTGCTCCGTCATGACATGCTTGCTTGGATACTGCAGTGTCTTTAGGTCAGAGCTAAGATAGATAAATAAATACCAACTTGACTGGAAGATTTATATATATGTAGATGTTTATAGTTATAGATTTTACCTGTACGAGACAGCCAGATAGGTGATTGCACACATTGGGAAAATTGTTGTGCACCACGTTTCTTATTGTTCCCTTTATGGTTACAGTTCTTAATTATTATTAATGTTAAACAATGCCTTAATATGTTGTTTATCAGGGATGGGAGCTCTAGAAGGTGAAAAATTAGAGCGCAGTGTGAATGTATTTACAGAGAAGTTTCTCAGGGTTTACATGGTGAGTTAATTAGTCCCCGTTCGGACGCAGTCCGAAAACGGGGACTTATGTTTTGACCTCCGTGTGTTCGTGTGTGCGTGCGTGCGTCTGTGTGTGCCTGTACCAATCACAATCAAACTTCACACATACATCATACATGATATTATACCGGTACATATGCACGTCAATTTGTTTCACGATCTGATTCAAGATGGCCGAATGGCAGCCATTTTTGTGCTAAAAATCATCAAAATCAAGCATTTCTTGGCTGTTTACAAATGGATTTTGTTCAAACTTGGTATATACATT